AGAAAGAAAGAAAGAAAGAAAGAAAGAAAGAAAGAAAGAAAGAAAGACAGGCAGGCAATGGGGCTTTGGACCAGTGGCGGGATTCAAATTTTTTTACTACTGGGAGGGTGGGCATGGCTTGGTGGGCATGGCAGGGGAAAGATACTGCAAAATCCCCCTTCCCTCCCCACCCCACTAACCTGCTTTCCAGCTCTGTTCTCCTGTGCAGGGCAACCAAAGGAGACCCAGCCAATCAGCTGGGACTCAATGGGAGGCGGAGAATAGATTGAGGCGGGGCCAGTCCGAGGTGGCATTTGCCAGTTCTCCAAACTACTCAAAAATTTCACTACCGGTTCTCTAGAACCGGTGAGAACCGGCTGAATGCCACCTCTGACTTCGACTCCCAGAATTCCCCAGCCGGCCTGCTTCAAGATGGCAGCCCATTGCAGTTTGATTCAAATCAACATCAATTCCCCTCCTTTGGCCACCCTTGTTGCTATTTAACCATGATTAGTCAGCTGTTCTGGCTTCACATAATTAGCAGCCACCCACGCCGCAGGTGAATCCTGGTTAGTTTTTCTGCAGGTGGCTCAGCGCCTTGAATCCAAACCAGTTATGTCAGTTATGTGGCTCACGCTAACACTGCCAGTCAGTAAAATGGATCAATGGATCAATCGAGTTAAGAGATGCGTTGTTGTGGGAAGGGGAGGAAGCATTGAGTTAGAGACAGGATCTAAATTTAATCACTCAGGGGAGGCAGGATAGCAGCCTTCCAATATTTGAGGGGCTGCCACAGAGAACCGGAAGGCCAGACAAGGAATAATGGATGGAAACTGACCAAGGAGAGATTCAACCTAGAAATAAGGTGAAATTTTCTGACAGTGAGAGGAGTCAACCGACAGGACAGAAGTTGCCTTTGGAAGTTGTGGGAGCTTCATCCCTGGAGGCTTTCAAGAAGAGACTGGACTGCCATTTGTCAGAAACGGTGTAGGGTCTCCTGCTTGGGCAGGGGGGTGGACTAGATGACCTACAAGGTCCCGTCCAACTCTCTTAATCTAATCTAGTCATAAATACATCCTCTCTAAAAATATTGTTCTTGCATTATTTGGTTCTGGAGATAACAGCCTTTTAAAACAGCCCTGGAGAGATTCATGACAATAATAATAATAAAAAACCAAGCAGTTTTTCCGCTCTCTGTAAATGCATTTCCTGATCAGATTGTGGGACTCATAAGCAACGCTCCGAGAGGCGGAACAAATTCCCCAAGAACATCTGGCATCTCCGGCAAAAACAGCAGTCGGCCAGGAGTTTCTCCCCATTGTGAAAGCGGCACTCAGCATGCAAAACAATAACATGGATCTGCATCCCAATGAAAACAAACAGCCTCCACAATTATGTTTGAACCCCCCAAAATAGCCTGGCTTTCTTCCTCTTGCAGGGGAGAGGAGAGAGAGAAAGAGAGAGAGAGAGAGAGAGAAATGAAAGGAATTCCAAGTTTTATTCTTAACTGACAGATGGCCAACCTCTTGGCAGAGATGTGTGTTTGTTCTTCTGTTAAAAAATAAAAAAACATTTTTGTGGAGGGATAAGAAAGAAGATTGCACGTTAAAGTGTTAATGCCACTTTATCATGCTTTGGTAAGGCCACACTTGGAATACTGCATCCAGTTTTGATCTATCATCTATCATCCATTCATCCATCTCTATCTCTCTATCTCTCTGTCTATCTCTGTCTATCTCTGTCCATCTATCATCTATGTATCATCTATCAATCTATCTATCATCTATCTATTTATCTATCATCTATTATCCATCCATCCATCCATCCATCCATCCATCCATCCATCCATCTCTCTATATCTCTATATCTGTCTATTTGTCTATCTATCTATCTATCTATCATCTATTTATCATCTATCTATTATCCATCAATTCCTCTTTCATCCATCTGCCATCCAGCCACTCATCCATTGTTCTATTCATCTAACCATCCATCCTTCTACCTTCCATCCATTCCTCTATCTACCTATTCTATGTCTGTCTGTCTGTCTGTCTATTTTTCCATCCCTCCATCCATCCCTCCATCCATCCACCTATTCTATATCTATCATCTGTCTGTCCATCCATCATCTATCATCCATTCATCTAACCATCCATCCTTCTACCTTCCATCCATTCCTCTATCTACCTATTCTATGCCTGTCTGTCTATCATCTATCTATCTATCTATCTATCTATCTATCTATCTATCTATCTATCTCTATCATCAACTAGGTTGGACTCCCCAGCCTTTATTATTTTTAGAAATAACACAAGGCTGCGAACATGTCAAACATGCCTTCCTCCTCCTATTTTCTCCATAACGACAATCCTGTGAGGTGGGTTGGGCTGCCCAAAAAAGCCAATGTACTTCTAGGTTGCATCAAAAGACAGAGAGTATCAAGGTCGCTTTATAAGGCCTTAAGTAAGGCCACACATGGAATAGGGCCTCCAGTTTTACTCGCCACGATATAAAAAAGATGTTGAGACTCTAGAAAGAATGCAGAGACGAGAAACCAGGAGGATGAGGGGACCGGAGGCTTAAAACATATAAAGAACGGTTGCAAGAATTGGGTATGTCTAGTTCAATGAAAAGAAGGACCAAGTGTAACTGGATAGCAGTCTTCCAGTATCTGAGGTAGTGTCCCAAAAGTGCTTTTCAAAACACAACTGGGCTTTCATAGTTTTGTTTTGTTTTTAAGTTTCGCTTCTCATCCATGAATGGAATGATGGAGTCTGTCATCTGCACCTCTATAACTGTCTGGTTTGGTTCTGCAACCCAACAGGACAGACACAGACTTCAGAAGATAATTAGGACTGAAGAAAAAAACAATTGCTACCAACCTGCCTTCCATTGAAGACCAGGGAATTTAAGTCCTCTGGGCTTAAAGCTTTGCTGGCTGGGAGATTCTGGGAGTTGAAGTCCTTTAGGCTTAAAGTGGCCAAGGTTGGGGAGCCCTGGGCTAGTGCACTGCCCAGGTTTGTCCTTGATTTAGGTGAGGATAAATGGGGACCTTCCCTTCCCTTCCCAGGTCGGGCAGAGCCAAGCTATCACATGAAGCCACAATACGGTTTTATTGGTTTGGAAATTGCAATGTTACATAAATACAGCCATTTATTAACGCAAGTTTAGGATGGAGCAGCCGATTGTGCAAAACCCGACCAGTTTGCGGTCACCAAATTTCCTGCCGACACCGTTAAGGTTGGGGGGGAGAAAAGAAATATTGATCTTGGAAGATCCTTACCTTACCTGAGGGTGGGGGAGAGATGGGGGCTGGGGGAGAAAGTCTTATCCCCTTGAGGAGGGAATCTTTCAAGGCAACCCGTTTTAACCATTTTTTTCCCCTGCAAACAAGCATCTGCCGCCATTCAGGCATGGGGAAAAAAATATATCCCCTCGCGTTAGGCTGGAAAATGGTGAACGTGATGCTTTACAGATAGCCCTCGACTTACGAAAACTCCTTTAGCGACTGTTCGAAGTTACCACGCCACTGAGAAAAGGGACTTTCACCTGGTCTTCACACTTATGACTATCTCGGTGTCCCCGACGGCCACAAGATCAACATCCAGGCCCTACAGTTGCAATATCCCAGGATGAAGGGATTCCCCACCTTGGGCGACCTTCGCAGCTGGCTTCCGACGAGCCGGATTCGTTGAATGACTGCTTGATTCATCTAACGACCGCATTATAGGGTCTCCTGCTTGAGCAGGGGGTTGGACTAGATGACCTACAAGGTCCTTTCCGACTCTGATTATCTGTTTATATCTGATTCGCTCAAATCCCCCCGCCCCCCGCCCCAAAAGGTGGGGAAATTGGACGTGCCTTGCTTTTAACGACTTGCAGTGGAAATTGTGATCTCATTTATGGTTGTTAAGTTGAGGACTATCTGTATCGCTTTTCCAGCTGAACGGCCCATCTACCCTGCCTTTTCCGGGGTTATATGCCAGCACTAGATGAGCCCCAAAGAGCCCCTGACCCCTTCAACCCCCCCCCAATCCCATTTCTCCCCCAGCATTTTCTAACAATTGGGAAACCAGAGTGGGGAAGAAGAAGTGGGGTGCAAGGCAGAGGAACAAGAGTCATTCAACCCATGCAGTTTGGGGTTCTTGTTTTTTTTCCAAGAACCAGGTCCCCATATTGTCCAAAATGATCCCAATCTACGAACCGGAAGACTAAAGTCCAAAGGAGAGTTTATCCGGTTTGGGGAACCCATCAGATCCAAAATCAGAGAGTCGGGCATTGTCTGGCAACCTGAGGACTCTCCCAAAACTTTGGCCATGTGGAGAACATCCCTCTGGATCTTCTGGACTCAACAATTCTGGACTCTGTGTTCCAAAGTCAGCATGGCAGTCCTTCAGCAGTTTTTATGATCCTCTTTGACACCGATCAAATTTTAATTCCTTATTTATTTCCTTTTGCCATCTCGCAGCAAATTGCTTCCTTCCCCTTCTGTTTGCAAGAAGAGGGTTGTTATTTTTTACCCCTTCCCTGGCCTGTTTTTGGGTGGATCCGTGCCTCTCTTCTTCTTCTTCTTCCTCCTTCTTCTTCTTCCTCCTCCTTCTTCTTCCTCTCTCTCTCTCTCTCTCTCTCCTGAGAAAGTCCTCTCCACCACCAAAGCCAAAACATTAAAATAAGAGAATCCTCACCCCTCCCCCAAAAACATACATTTAACAAATAAAATAATAATAATAATAATAACAATACAACTTGTGTTGCTTTTTTTAAAAAAAGAGAGAAAGATTCCTTTTTTTTTTTTTTGTGAAGACAAAAATGAAAAGACGAAAGAAAAAAAGGCACGAGGTTTTAGCAGAGAAGTCGGAGGGTGGGAAAACGGAGTCGGCGCTTCTCAACAGTCCTGGCTCCTTCCCCGGAGAGATCATTCAGACGTTCCCCAAGTCCAACACCGATCTGTTTTTTTCTCAGCTACACCGGCAGGATTTGACAATCATATTGGAAAGTTGTTCTACTTTGGCTTGTCGGCCGACATAGTAAATGATGCCCAGGGGGTCCAGCTCATCGGGGACACAACAGGGAGCCGCTGAGGCTGAGGGATTGTGAAGGTTGTAGAGAGCGAGGACCTGTGAGAAGGAGACACGAACATTCTGCTTGGAGATGCAAGATTTCTCTTAGTTAACACAGCATCCAGTTTGGGTCCCCACGTCACAAGAAAGAGGCTGATGCTTTGGAAAAAGCGCAGAGAACAGCAACTCGGATGATTAAAGGCTTGGATAACAGAGAACAGATAATCAGAGTTGGAAGGGACCTTGTAGGTCATCTAGTCCAACACCCCCTGCCCAAGCAGGAGACCCTACACCATTTCTGACAAAGGACAGCCCAATCTCTTCTTGAAAGCCTCAAGTGATGGTGCTCCCGCAACTTCTGAAGGCAACTTCTAGTTCCATGGGTTGATTGTTCTCACTGTCAGAAAGTTTCTCCTTATTTCCAGGTTGAATCTCTCCTTGATCAGTTTCCATCCATTATTCCTTGTCTGGCCTTGGAGAATAGCTTGACTCCTTCCTCCTCCTTTCTGTGGCAGCCCTTCAAATATTGGAAGGCTGCTCTCCTGTCTTCCCTGGTCCTTCTCTTCCCTAGACTAGCCAGGCCCAGTTCCTGCTACCGTTCATTGTTTGTTTTAGTCTCTAGTCCCGTAATCATCCTGGTTGCTCTTCTCTGCACTCTTTCTAGAGTCTCAACATCTTTTTTATAGTGTGGAGACTAAAACATATGAAGAAGGGTGGCAGGAATTGGGTTGGCTAGTCTAGAGAAAAGAAGGACTAGGGGTGATACAATCGTAGTATACTAGTATTTGCCACAAAGAGGAGGGAGTCTATTGATTTTCCAAAGCACCAGAAGGCAGGACAAAGAAAGAATGGATGGAAACTAATCCAGGAGAGAAGCAATCTGGAATTAAGGAGAAACCTCCTAACAGTGAGGACAATTAACCAGTGGAACAGCTTTGCCACCAGAAATTGTGGGTGCTTCATCACCGGAGGTCTTTAAGAAAAGACTGGACAGCTACTTGTCTGAAATGGTTATTCCATCCTTCTGAGGTCAATAAAATGAGGACTCAGATTGTTGGGGGCAAGAGGCTGACTCTGTAAACCGCTTAGAGGGGGCTGTAAAAGCCCTGTGAAGCGGCATATAAGTCTAAGGGCTATTGCTATTATAGGCCAAGATCCCATCCCGCTCTATTCTGAATTGAGTTGATTTTCAGAGGTTTGGTTTGATTTGGTGTGGTTTGGGTTGAGGGCCAAACGAAGACTTCGGCACAAGTCTGGACCACCCGTCGTTTTTCTTCCCTACCCTCTTGAACCCAACTGGGAGAAAACAAGCCATCAATCTTGGCTGGTCCAATTCCAGTTACTTGCTCAACTTTTAGCTAATGCCTCCTTTGGAGGGAGGTGCCAAGCCGCAAAACTCACCACAGGGTGGCCTGTTTGTTGTTGTTTTTCATCCAAAGCCAGTGCATTAATTATCCTTCTTCCTTTATCAAAACAACCATAGTAGAAAAACAGGATTTTCCCCCCTTTAAATTTTCCTAAAAGCCCAACAAGGGTTTGACTGGCCAATAATTTGCAAATAGAGTTAGAAGTTTAAAAATGTTGGGTTCTGGCATGGGGAATTAATATTTTTGCAATACATTTATCAATGAATGCAATTGTCATAAGTACGAATCAAGTTGCCGAGAGTCTGCATTTCGATCACATGGGAACGCTACGAACGGTCGTAAGTGTGAAAAACAGTGGTGTCACTTTTTTCCCATCCCGTGGTAATTTCGAACCGTCCCTAAATGAACAGTTGTAAATCAAAGACTACCTGTATATGTCTGTGCCTCTTTTTTTAAAAAAAATTATACATTTTTAATACCTGGTTTATTTGGGTTTTTTTGTTAAAAAAAAAATATCCCATTTTTTGGAGGGAAGTTTTGAATGTTAACTTTTGGAATAAAAATAAAAATAGATGGAAAGCAAAAAAGGGAAAAAGAAGGATATTAAAAAATGAACAAGGGTTTTCGATGGCATTGTCTCAGCCCCCGCCATCCTGATTTTTCTGATCCTGCTGGGCAGACACCTCTGAGAGAGACATAACGCAAACGGCCAGGGGTGGGATTCAATTTTTTAACAACCGGTTCTGTGGGCATGGTTTAGGTGGTGGGCGTGGCTTGGTGGTCATGTGACTGGATGGACATGGCTTGGTGGTCATGTTATTGGCTAGGCGTGGCCAACTCAACGTCACTCACATCAAGGCACGCATCTCCTCGCCTGGCCTCTCATGACAGTGGGGATGCTGCAACAGTCGTAAGTGTGAAAAATGGTCATAAGTCACTTTTTTCAGAGTCATTGTAACTTTGAATGGTCACTCCACGCAAGCAAAGTACCAGCAAAGGAGGGGGAAAAAAACTCCAGAGAAGTTCCTGAGACAGGAAGTCTAGTCCTGCCAAGAACGTAATAAGGGTTAACGGAGAGGCAGTTTCTGTAAGCAACACCAGAATGTTTCCTTCCTGCCTTCCTTACAGGATTAGGCCAGTAATTTCTTCTAACAACCGGTTCTCCGAACTGCTTAGAATGTTAACAACCGGTTCTAGCAAATAGGTGCAAACTGGCAGAATCCCACCCCTGCAAACCTCCCTCCTTTACAGGTGGCGGGATTCTACTGGTTCAGACCGGTTCAAGTGATCCGGATGTTAAGTTTGCATCTGGAAATTTCACTGAACTGCTATTTGAACCAACCGGCTGGCCCCACCCAACCCACCCTTCCTCTCCCAGGAGTCTCCACGTGGCCCGTTTTCCATCCAGGTAAGTGTAGGGTCTGCGCGGAGGCTCTGGGAGGAGGAAAAATGGGCCTTCCAGGAATCCAGAAACAGGCCTGCTTCCTGAAGGCCTCCGGAGCCCGGGGGAGGCCATTTTCGCCCTTCCCAGAGGCCTGAGGGAAGCCTCCGGATTCTGGGGAAGGTGATTCTGGGCCCCTCCCACCATGGCCACGCCCCCCCAGCAACCAGGCAGCCAACCAGTTGCTTAGGTTTTTGAATCCCTCCCCTGCTCCCTTACCTTGGCGTACTGAGTGTCCGAGCTCCAGAGGTAGGGACAAGGCCCCATGCAGAAATTGGCATAGTAGCCTTTGGGTTCGTAGATCCACTTCCATTTTAAGTCTTTTCGGAAATCGATATAGAAACGCCGTACGCAGCAATTCTTCGCTTCCGCTGACCTAGGAAAAAAAGGAGCCCGAAAATGTCCTTAAGTCCTTTTGCTCTGAATTTGGAGACCTCCAATTTTCTGAATAGAATGGAGTGGAATGGAACGGAACGGAACAGAACAGAACAGAATAGAAATAAAGTGGAAAGGAACGGAACAGAATAGAACAGAAATAATAATAATATAATATAATAAATAAAATATAATACAAATAAAATATAATATAACATAATATTGTATAATATAGTAAAATATAATATAATACAAATATAAGAATAGAATAGAATAAATATAATATAATTAATATAATATATAATGGAATGGAACGAAACAGAATAGAACAGAAATAATAGAAGAATAGAATAGAATAGAATAGAATAGAATAGAATAGAATAGAATAGAATAGAATGGAATGGAATGGAATGGAATGGAATGGGATGGGATGGGATGGGATGGGATGGGATGGGATGGGATACTTTGAGTAGGTCCATAAGCAATTGGTCTGTGGTGCAGAAGCTCTTGGCATACATGCAAAACAAAGGAGTGATAATAATCATAATAATGATACTATAAAGGGAAGGTAGCAGAAAAGATGAGAAGGCTAAGAGTAATACAGCCTTACTACTTTCAGAATTAGGTGTTCCGCTGCGTGATTGCATCAGGGAAAAAGATGTCTCTGTGTCTGATATATTTGATTGATCGATCAATCGATCGTTAAACTTGATCAATCAATCAAGTTTTAAAACAGCTGATGGGAAGCACTCAACCTGGTTGGAAGGTGGGATCAAGCGCAGAGTTAGCCTGGAGTCTCTGCGCAACCCCAAAAGGGCTAGAGACGATGACCCTCCCAAAATTCCCCTGAACCTTATCTATTTGGAGGCTGGGGAAGATTCTTGTCCTAGAGGCAGAAGGTAATAAAGTACCGTGTTTCTCCTAAAACACGACCCACCCCAAAAAGAAGGCCCAGCACTGTTTTGTGCGCACGCGTTAAAATTAAGTCCTACTCCCCAAATTGGGACAGCTACCAGTAGCTGGCCATTACAGGTAAGCAAGGGTGCACGGGGCCCATGGGGCCTGTCACTCGTTCCTTTTGGTCGTGAAAGAAGCGGCTCCGTGGCCGGGCGAGGCACGTGGGAGGGGAATTAAGACACCCCTCGAAAAGAAGGCCTAGCCGTTTTTTCAAGGATCAAAAGAAAACAAGACCTGGTCGTATTTTCGAAGATACATGGTAGTTATCTGGAACTCTGGCATGTCTGAGTCTGGCTGTCCACCCCTGAGAGCAACTTACTGGCTGCTGCAGAATTCTGCGTCTGGAGAGGCTCGTTTTCTCCGCTTGTGACTCGAGGAATCAGCCCGTTCTGGAGTGGTAGCCATGATCAAGAGATACGGCCGTTGTTTTGATCTCCCAGCTATTGAGCCCTGGTCCCCTCTTACGCTGGTGGTGCCTGCAAAAGGAAGGGGAGTCGTTGACTTGCCTTCTTCGCCAAGCGACCCAGGAGGGTCCGTTGAATCGGGAATCTGTTGCGGCTTCCTAAAAACTCGGGCTGGGAAAAGTTTAGCGTTGATGCGTTTGGGAAGGGAAGGAAGGATTCCGAATTGCAGGTAGCCCCATGACTTTCAGCCGTTCATTGAGTAACCAAAGTTACAATGGCACTGAAAAAGGTGAGTTTATGAACCCAGGTGTTTTTTTTTTTTTTTTCACCCTTGCAACGGTGCTGGCTGGGGAATTCTGGGAGTTGAAGTTCACTCCTCTTCAAAGGACCAAACTTGAGATACAACAGAAGGGAGAAAAAAAAGAGGCTCCTTCCAAAGTCCAGAAATGGCTCCTACATCATTCCGATCATCTTTTTGACCAAAACTTTCCTCTTAACTCCACATTCGGCCGTTACTCATACATTCTGAGAGCACATGATGCAATTTTGGCAGACACAAACCAAAGAGGCTTAATTTTCTTTCCCTCAAGCCCCCCCCCCCCCCCCCCCCCCCCCCCCCCCCCCCCCCCGGGGAGCAGAAGGTCAGTAATTACTTGCAAAAATCTGACCGAGGTTTCCGTAAGCCCGGAAGTCACCCAAGAGGATGCCCGTTGCCCCCCCCCC